CCGCATTCGGTATGATATCTATGCTAATCTGGGTTCCTTGCAGATTCGGACGTCGTACATTTCGAGATCCTTGGGACCCACTACGTTGTCCTGAACTCCGCAAAGGCTACAGTTGACCTTTTCGAGAAACGATCGAACATATACTCTGATAAGTGAGTGTCAGAATGTTTGCCCACATCGTGTGCACGAAATTGATGGCTCATGGCTACAGGATCGATTCGCCGATGGTTAAGCTGTGAGTGCTACAGTTTTGTCCTCAATCGCTGCGTTCACGGTCTGTCTCCTTAGGACGGGATGGAACAGGAGTTTCGCTCTGATGGGATATGGCGACTACTGGAGGGCGCACCGCAGGCTCTCCCACCAATATTTTCGGCCTGCCGCCGTCTCTAAGTATTATCCTTCGTCGGCCAAGTCAGTGCATGAGATGATACTTGCACTACGTGATACACCAGGCCGGTTCATGGAACACATTCGCCAGTAAGTACTTATGTTTTTCGCTTCCGAGTGGGCCTTTCACTTTCACTATGCCGACTAGTATGGCAGGATCCAACGTCTTGAGGATCGTGTACGGCATAGAAGTAAAACCTGAAGATGACCCTCTCATTCCAATCGTAGAAGAGAGCGTCCAGGTGTTTTCAAAAATCACTGTCGCAGGGGCATATCTTGGTAATGTCACTTGATCCTCATAAGACGTTCTGCATGATTCACTTCATCGCAGCTGATTCTCTTCCCATACGTGAGTCCACTATCTCGTAGGCCTCGGGCAAGCCTAATATGCGTGTTTCAGTTCAACATATTCCCGCGTGGTTTCCGGGAGCTCAATTCAAACGTGATGCTGCGAAGTGGAGGCCGGTTGTCGATGCGATGTACCTGCAACCCCACATGGAAGTGAAAGCTTCGTTTGTAAGCACGGCAAGTCGTCCTGGCACCTCACGCTCTGATGCTCGCCTTGTCTTAGAATAACGGTGATGCCAGGCCGTGCCTATTGACGGACGTGCTTTTCGAAATGTCTCAAGATCGAGAAGGCCGAGACTACACGATCGACGAAGATGTTGCCATCGGCGTTATGGGGGTATCTTACGCTGGTAAGAGGCGAATGGTGCATAGCCTGTAGACTAATGTGTTCATTACTCGTTTCTCGCAGCGGCGTCCGACACCGTGAGTGGTCAGTCGCGATACATGGGAAGATGAGCTTAGGGAGGTGGGATAGACTACCTTGACCCTATTCAACTTCGTGCTAGCGATGTTAATGCACCCGGAGGTGCAGAAGACAGCCCAGGAGGTGCTTGACGGTACTATAGGCCGATCTCGGCTACCAGAGATTGAAGATCGAGATGCTCTCCCGTTCATCACTGCAATGGTGAAAGAGTGTCTTCGGTGCGTCCTCGATCATTGCCTCTGATCATAATAGCAATCATGGTTTGTATCAGGTGGAGGCCTCCGCTTCCGTTAGGTATGTTTTCCAACAATGTATGCAGCGCTAAGCCTGCTAATGGCTTGGATGTAGCGCTTCCTCATCGGTCTGTGGCAGATGATGAGTATAGAGGATTCCATATACCCGCTGGGTCAGTTGTCATCGGTAATGCGTGGTGAGTAAGGGTGCAATATCGAGATGTGCTTGATATTTACATGCGCCATTAGGGCTATCCTGCATGATGAGGAACGATATCCAGACCCAGATGTGTTCAATCCTCGTCGATTCTTAGACGGTGAAGGCAGGTTGCGTAAGGACGTTCCCGACCCCACAGATGCGTTCGGGTATGGACGAAGGATATGCCCCGGACGATATTTCGCTCTGGATGTCGTCTGGCTGGCGATGGCGAATATGCTCGCAGTCTTCTCTATCGAGAAGCCTATGGATGAGCAGGGAAACGTCATCGAGCCCACAGGAGAATACATGACAGGCTCTTTCAAGTAAGCCTCGTGTATTCACCCGTACTTCCTCACTGGAACGCTCTTCAGTTGGCCCGTACCTTTCAAAGCTGCTCTCAAAATGCGAGAAAATGTCGACGTTTTTTTGTAATACGATCTAGGGAGTACTAGTATCTAATCATTAACATATGACGCACGATATCAGATTCTTCGAGTAATACGGAGATGCAGAGCTCAAGGTAAAGAGGAGTGCACACAGAGGACGAGTTTTGACATGGCTCGTTTGATGCCACGTCCCACTTCCGGAGACCTATGAAATGGGTCGGCAACAGTGTCAGCATATGGCCGTTTGGACGATTTGAGTTGCTGCATGCCGGTGCTGTTTGTGACTCTTCTCGCCTTGCGATTTCAACGATCTAGGGCTATACACGACAACTTCACGACGAGGTTAACAGCTACACCAGGCCGCTATAATATGTCGTGTGCTTTCTTATCCAAGCACTACCTCATGGCGTAGCTAGTGCGGCTCCTCACAACCCACTAGCAGCCTGAATTAGCCTGAACTCGGAGGATCATGGTCACGGTGTCGGCTAGTAATTTGACACCTTCAAAATTGCATCAATACGATGCAGCAGGTCTACTCAATCTAGCCTGAGACGATTGGGAGATCCATGAACGGCAGTGATAAGTGTCCTAAAGAACCCCGTGATGCCCGAGTTGCCGCCACAGCATGTGCCATGAGACTATGGCCAACGTTGCTTTCCGCACTACGCTGAGGGGATTTGCCTCGCTTAGGGATAGCAAGTCGTAACTACGGCCTAGTATGCGAACGAAGGCCGAAATGACGGGAGAGGCATCGTATCTCGTGCCAGTGATCCATTTTAGCCGCTATCGGAACCTGATCGTGACTACTTGCGCTCCTCGCAATTCTCACCCGTAGCGCCGCTTGGGGTACTTAAGGTATGCCGCATGCGTTTCGTTGCCCGTAACGTGCTGCCATTTAATGCGGGCCATCTAAGATCATGTCCGTCTTCTCAATGTCGACGCTGTTAGCAGCCTTCGTAGTTCCGCTCCTTCTGCTATACTCCAGCCGGCGACTTCGACATCGTTTACCGCCTGGTCCGAAAGGCCTGCCGATCCTCGGCAATGTCTTCAATGCACCGAAATCATTTGAGTGGCTAGCATACCAAGACTGGAGTCGTCAATATAGTATTCGCTTTCCATCGCACCTCTAACGATACTTACGCTGACCTAGCTTCTTTGTAGATTCGGATATCGTCCATTTCGAGATCCTCGGGATTCACTTCGTTGTCCTGAACTCTGCGCAGGCCACAGTTGACCTTTTCGAAAAACGGTCGAACGTATACTCTGACAGGTGAGTGTCTGTCCACCACCACATGTGCGATATTGACGGTTCACGAACACAGGATTGAGACGCCTATGGCTGACATATGAGTTCTACCTCTTCATTCTCTGTCGCTGTGCCCATGATCTGTCTTGTAGGGCAGGATACGATCGAAACTGGGGCCTGATGGGATATGGTGACTACTGGAGGGCGCACCGTAGACTCTTCCATCAATATTTTCGGCCGGCCGTTGTCTCTACGTATCATCCTTCGTCGGCGAAGGCTGTGCGTGAGATGATATCTGCGCTACGCGATGCACCGGACCGGTTCGTGGAACATATCCGCCAGTCAGTGCTCATTTTTCCTCGCTTTCGAGTAACTTGTTCATTGCTATTGCGCCGACCAGTATGGCAAGGTCCAATATCTTGAAGATTGTGTACGACATAGAAATCAAACCTGAAGGTGATCCCCTTATTGCGATCATAGAGGAGGGTGTCCGGGTTTTCTCGAGAGTCACCGTCGCAGGGGCATATCTTGGTATTGCTATATGATTACTGCATGGCGTTCGGGTTGATACATTTTGTCACAGTTGACTCTTTCCCGATTTGTGAGTCCACCACCTTGTAAACCTGTAACTAGCCTGATATGCATGCTGCAGTGCGACACATTCCTGCGTGGTTTCTGGGAGCTCAATTCAAACGCGATGCTGCGAAGTGGAGACCGTTTGTCGAAGAGATGTACATGCGACCCCACAGGGAAGTGAAAGCTTCATTCGTAAGCATCGCAAGATGTTCTTCAATCTCGCAGTCCGTTGAACACCTCTCATCTCAGGATAATGGCAACACCAAGCCGTGCCTGGTGACCGACGCACTTTTCGAGATATCTCGAGACAAAGATGGCAGAGATAGTTTGATTGACGAAGAAGTCGTGATCGGTACGTTGGGAACGGCGTATGCTGGTAAGAACGGAATGGCACATACCCCGCCGATGTATGCTCATTGCTCTCTTCCCGCAGCGGCATCCGACACTGTGGGTGGTCAGCCACAATCTCTGGGAAAACGAGCTTGTTAAGATGTACTAGACCATCTTGGCCATGCTCAATTTCGTGCTGGCTATATTGGTGCATCCGGAGGTGCAAAAGATAGCTCAGGAAGAGCTGGACAATATTGTAGGTCGAGATCGGCTACCAGAGATAGAAGATCGAGATACTCTCCCATTCATCACCGCAGTGATGAAAGAGTGTCTTCGGTGCGTCCTTCCTTACTGCCTATGATCAATAAGATATTCACATTACGTGCCAGATGGAGGCCTCCGCTTCCGTTAGGTACGTTTAGGAGCCATATACGACCCATCAAGCCACTGAACCTGTTGATGGCTTGAATGCAGCGCTCCCCCATCGATCTGTGGCAGATGACGAGTATCGAGGATTTCATATACCCGCTGGGTCAGTTGTCATCGGTAATGCATGGTGAGTAGGGGTATAATATTGATATGAGCTCGACCTTGACGTGCCCCATTAGGGCTATTTTGCATGATGGGGAGCGGTATCCGGACCCAGATGTGTTCAATCCCCTACGATTCCTAGACGGCGAAGGGAGGTTGCGCAAAGACGTTCCCGACCCCATGGACGTGTTCGGTTACGGACGAAGAATATGCCCTGGACGTTATTTCGCGTTGGATGTTATATGGCTGGCGATGGCGAATATACTCGCCGCGTTCTCTGTCGAGAAGCCCGTGGATGAGCGGGGGAATGTCATCGAGCCTACTGGAGAATACTTGACAGGCACTTTCAGGTATGCTTTATGCACCTGCATCTTTCGTGCTTATTCAGAAAGTCGGCAGTTTCCCCGCCCCGTTCAAGGCCGATTTCAAAGTGCGAGGGCGCGCGCGTTGACGTGCCTGCATGATGCGATTGAGGAAGTAGCATTTTAGTATGCTGTCGGCACTGTCCGATGCCTAACGCCAGGTCATAGAGAAGAGGTTCGCGTGATCAGACAATAGGCACGGGTAAATGGACCTTGTATGATAGAGATGCTGTAGACATAGCCTTGGAATAATTGACAACAGGTAACGATTGTTGAACATATACGCATAGAAGCTGCCAGGAAAACACTCAGGCATAGACAGGAATATCTCCAACTTACATGCCACATCATGATGTCTAACAGTGGCCCTGGCTGCGGGACTGGAAGTAGATTAGATCAGCACTTGCCAGATTTTTCGGACACCACAAAGCCCTCACGCGGCGTATTACGCCTTGTCGCAAGCTTAGAGTGATACCAAGGCGGAGGTGATACTAGATTGTACATCAAGATATATAAGCACTAATACAATACCTCGCGTATATATATATATAGTAGTAAATATGCAAGCAGCCCAAGTCCAAGAGGAGTATATGCTGGGTAGTATATATCTCAAGGGCTCTTTTGGAATGATTCGTTGTTGACCATCGGACCCGCTATAGCTCATCCGCGACTGGACTGTCCTCATTCACCAGGTCGTCGACCTTGTACAGCTTGGTGTTCATCGGTGCAACCACCGTAGGGCTAGGGGGGCAGCTCGTAATCTCGCCGTACAGCGCGGGAGTCACGACACTGGGTACGTCTGTCACGCTGTATGCTGACGGGCTCAGCGCGGGGGTTCCGCTGCGACTGCCATTGGTGTACGTCAGGCTGCTCCTCTTTGCAAGGTAACTAGCTGTCTTATTGCTCCCCGTGCTAATGATGCTCAGGCTGACTGATTTGCCGTTCCGGGCAGAACTGGAGGGCGCGGCTAAGGCAGACTTGTGAGTAGACGGTGAAGAGAAGACGAATGTAACACGTACATTTATACCCGCAAACAATTTCGGTGTGTTTCTTCCAAGCGTCGGAGTTGAGCATCACTGGAGGGCTTGGATCTGCCGGTAGCATTACATCGATCAGGTTTTCATCAGCGATGACATGGCACTTACCGGCATAGAGGCCAAGCTCGCAGACGAAGTCGCACTTCCTCGTGAAGACGGGATCACGGAGTGTGACTTGCTGGATACCCATGGTGCAGTAGTCCCAGCTCTGCTCCAGGGCCTGTCTGAGCGCAGGCATGAATGTCTTGAACGCCTCTATGTCCAGAGAGAAGCTCTCTTTGTGCAACTCGGCGATGTCGAAGGGGCAGTGTCCAGAGCACTCTTTGCGGTCGTGCGATAGGACGGGCTGCTCGTGGGAGAAGCGGACTTGGAGAGCACCTGAGCTGGTGTCGAGCGCGACGGTTGCAGACCACGAGTAGACAGTCTTGTTCCTTTCGTTCGTTCGCCATTAGCGTCAAAGTCGTCGTGATAAAAACCATGCATGAAAACACGTACTTCCAGCTCTGCCCACCGTTCTTGCCATTGACACGGATGGAAGAGCTTCCCTCGATCTTGATCACCATGCCAGAGGAATTGTAGGCCGTAGGTAAGCGCACGATGTTGCGAGTAGAACCTAGGGAAGGGTTATTCATCTCGACGTGTCGCGTAATGAGACGGAATGCTCACACTCTAGAGCATACTCTCCGTTAGCCTTGTCCAGAGCATCACCTTCGTGCTTGCGCTTCCACTCGTCCCGGTCGTGCCACTCGTATGTCAGGCAGTTCGGTTCCTTGCTCGCGACCGGGGTCCACTGGCATCCACGCGACAACCGTAGGCGTTCCTCGCGCTTCTCCCAGGTTGTGAGGCTGATATGCCACTGGCCGTCGATGACATCGACCGTCTGTGGTACAAGGGTCGTGCGCGCGTTGATGGCCTGGAGATGGTGTAGGATGCAGCGCTCGAAGAAGACGCGCTTTGAGAGTACGAGCGTCCCGACGGAGCGCTTTCCAACCGGCAGCCAGCCAAGGGCCCAGGTATCGCCGAGTGCAGGCATGGGGTTGCCGGTGCACATCCCATAGATCATGACGATCGGTGCCTCGACGGTCTCTCTGCCACGAAGCGAGGTCGACAGTGCGACCCGGCGCTTCGTGAGAACCTTGAAGTCAACGTCGGTGAAGGCGAACAGGTTCTCCGCGTCGCCAGGACTTCGGCTCGTGGCCATCATGACGGTGTGGAGGATGCTGTGACCATAGCTGACGAGAGATTCAAAGTACTTGAGAATGTAGGTCCGGACCGTTTTCAGGCTGTCAACAAAGTTTTCATCGCATTCCAGGCCCTCAACATCCGAGAGTTTCTCAATGTACCGCGCATCTGCAAGGTGTATTTTAGGCCGATAACCTTGAATCGGGAATAATGGAAACGCACTTGCGAAGTCGAGAATGAGATGTTTGAGTCTACTGTGAGAGCTCGTGATCTCCGTTGTAGCCTTTGCGTAAGTGGTGCGAGGGCCCGTCTTCTCCAAGTACTCAACGACAGACTTATCGACCTTCAAGCTCTCCTGTTCCACGAGCTGGAGATCCACCTCGTACGCGAGGGTGAGAGTCTCGAACGCGCATTCTCTGCAATCGTCAGCACCGGAAACCGGCTCCCAAACGTATGGGATCCAGAACTTTCGCTGTGCCGCCTTCCTGATGCTAGAGTAAGCGGTGTGGTCGGCGGTCAGACGAGCAAGGCGGCTTACTTCTTGACAGTAATGTGACCCTCGGTCTGAACATACAGAACGGCCTTTCCGTTGCTGAGGAGGCGGACCTTGAGGCCTAAAATATCCAGCCGGAAGAGATCGTCCTTGCCACGGAAGCACGAAATGACTTTGAGCCTGCTTTCGAGCACACGGTTGATCGTCGTCTCAGAGAGAACGATGACCTCGTCGAAACCGCTCTGCATGTCCAGGCGCTGAATCCGCTCCATCCAGAGCATCGCCTGACCACGCTGGCGGTAGAACTCCTCCGACTCGCCCTCGCTTGCGCTGGTCCAGTCCACATTGCGGTGCTCCTTGGCCTCGAGGCCGCCGCTGGCTCCAAGGCAGAGGTGGAACGAGTGGCTGACGAGGATATCGAGGTAGTCGATGGTGAAGAAATTGATCATAAGCTGAATATACTCCTCCACGACAGTGTCGACGTCAACACCAAAGAACGAGTCATTACGCGAGAAACGCGCGGCTAGATACATTTTAATGTCAGTGCAGACAACTCGACAAGATTCAAGATACGTACTCTCGAAATCTAGCTGTATCATCCCTGAGTCATTCTCGAAGACATTTACAATGAATGCGATTGTCCAGTCGTGGAGCTCCCTGAGGACAATCGCACTGCAGAAGGCCAGTCAGCACAGAGCTCTGACAAATCACATGAATGGACTTGCTTTGCGTCAATGTGAGCGTGCTTGAAGAACGCCAGGTCTCTGAGATGAAATTTGAGAATGACCTCATGCGGGCAGAGCACCTGCACGGTAGGGGTGTCGAAGTTAATGAAAAAGTGGGACTCAACCTCGGAGCCAACGATCCAGTCGCTACAGATGGTTCCCAGACACATCTTGAGGTTGCCCCAATTCGCGGCATTGCGAAGCGCGGACGCAGCCATCCATTGTGCCTTGTAGAATTGAGCGAGGACATCGCAGCCGAACTTGTTCAAGAGTCGGAGATCTTCATAGATGTTATGTAAAAGAACGTCGACCTCCCGTGTGCGAATGAGGGAGTAGTTAGACTTGGAGCGATCCAGATCGCTGTCGAAGTCAGAGAGGTCGAAGAGGATGTGGCTTCCAGACATTTTGAGGAAGTTCAGATACTGATCCATGTAGAACTTCAAAGCGTCCTTGACCTCCGGACCCAAGCTGGAGTCGGGATTTAGCACTATGAGCTTAGCCTCTGCTTTTCGTGAATGATGGTTCCAATGATGCTAGATTGGTCGGCTTACCCTCCAACTTGAGAATCTGCATCTGAACCAGATGCTCGGCTGACTCATTTCCAATCCTGCTATCCTGACCTCTGATGCTGGTACGGATGATGGGTACGTGGAACACCAACTCCAGGGATTCAATGTCACGATTGCAGTCGCTAAATTGGAATATTCAGCTAGCAAGGGAGACTCGAAAGAGCCAACACGTACGGTCTCGCCTTGTTTCCAGGTTTCACAGCGTCCTTGATATCGAGATTCAGATGCCCCGACTCTATCATCAAACAAAGAAAAACAGAATGGTTGCAAATGAACTTGAGTTCCGGTCGCCCAAATTTTGCGGAGAAGAACAGGTCCTGCTCGAGTAAACCAGGCTTCGACTTGCGAGTCAGATAGTGATATTCCCGTAGCGCCCGAGTTCGTCTGCTCTTCTCGTACGCGGAGGACTTGAAATCAAGCTTGACGGTATGCGCTGCACACTTTGCGGCATTCTCCCAGAAAGCCTGGAGCTGGGAGTTGACGTAGTGAACGGAGAGCTCCGCACTGTTGCCGTCGAGACACATGCCAAGCAAGCGTTCGAACGGGAAGGTGAGAAAGGGAGAGAGAAGCGACGTTAGAAGGGGGAGGAGGGGGAGAAAAGCTGAACGCGACCCTGGGTGAGAGAAACTTATATGTACATTCCTGACAAGCTGGATCTCAGGAACATCCTGGTTGCACTAGCTGTCGTTTAGACACACTGAGAAGTAAGAGTCTCGACGTCGGCAATGCTTGCGCGAGATTACCGACGACAACCACGACAGCGGAGCGCGGAGATGTTCGTCTCAAGCCTTGGCCCTTCATGCCACAAACGCTGATGAATGGTGACATGGATGAAGACAGATCCTGAAACGATGCGCGACCATTCCAGCGCCTCAGAAGCTCATGCGCCGGGGACCTAGAAGTTAGACTGCCATATCGTGAGGTCTCGAAGATGATTAACGACCCTGTGGGCTCGTAAGATGACGATAAAGATGTAGAATAAACCTGAACTCAAACCGTCCGCAGGAGCGATGACCGTGACGGGCTGCTTAGCCTGCTGGTAGCTGCGTGGGAAAGTCTCCATTTATTTCTGAATCACGTGCTTCTGGCGCTTATCAAACGCTTTGTCGTGTTCGCGGCGATGATTTACCCCTGCCAGGATGGCCTGCGCCTCGGATTTGGTCGCACCTCTGTCAATGAACACATCCTGTAAATAATGTTAATGAAACTACGGCTATTACTGAGTATGTCCAAAGCTTTGAACTCTCATGATATCGATGCTTAGGCAGATAGTTGAAGTATCATAACGAAGCACTATATATGCTATGCGAGAGCACTTCACTTCACGACGCAGTTGACCATCGCACGCAGGTAAGTTCAGCGCGAACCATAGCTAAAACGGTATATCTGAGACTTGCAGAGAGTACAGCGTCGTGTCGAGCACCTGGAGCTTACGTATTTTAAAACTTATAAGCGTGACATACCCCCCCCTGTTTGCCACGCTAATTCGCGCAATTTGCGTAAGAGCCACTAGCACGCTGATATCTTTCTAAAATATACCAAGTATGCATTTGGAAGACCCCTCCTACGCCTGTAAGCCCCCCCGAGCGATATGCCCCGGGCGCTATCCTCCATCACGGTGATGGCTCCGTTATCTGAGCGTCATCCATCGGCCCCGCCACCAACACCGCCATCCCCTGATGGCACACACGGCGCCATCGCTCCCGCCTGCGTGCTCGCTGTGGGCGACGACGACGACGCTTCCCCCATGTATATACATCATTTTTATACCGTTTTTTCCCTGATTTTAAATGCAGTATATAGTACATGTTACTACTCTTAAAATACAAGCTACTCATTGCTAATAAGCCTAGTAATTGAAGCTCTCGGGCATGTAGGGCGCGCGAGGCTCGGGACTTGGCTCCGGTCTGTTCCCGCCGCGCGCGGTCGGGTGAACGCGGGGCAAGGGTCCAGATGATGACGTGGCCTTGGCGTCCCGCCCATCAGTCCCGCTTACCAGCACCGCCCTCCCCTGATGGCACACCAGGCGCCATCATCCCCGCTCTTATGTTCGCTGCCAGCAATGACGACGACCCTTCTCGCGCGAACGGCTGCTGTGCTGTGGGCCCAGTGACTGAGCTCCGTCAGTGGGGG